CGTTCTCATTGTTTCCAAACACTCATGTATGCTAAGTTCACAGCTTCTCAATCAATATATCCCTTGCAAAGAGGAAATTTGCATGGATGACCATGATGAAATCGAAATCTGTTACTCTAAAAGGCACTTAGGTTTGAAGGGTTCTCTAATAAAAAGAAAATGAAGTACTATATTTCTCATTTCTCCCATGATTTTCATATAGACTTTCTCCTACTTCCCAAAAATCCACAAATTTGAAGTCAGAGTAAATGAGAAATTTAAAACTCAAGTCAACTTGAAGAATCTAACGATGTTTCACACAGAGAACATATTTGGCGGAGACTGTGGAGAGCCAGTCTCAAGTAAAAAACTTCTACTGCAATATGACCGGGATGTACTCGAAGATGAAGCAAGATATCTTCCCTCTCCGCTGTGAAACAATGCTTCATTTCTGAGCATTTTCCCCTTGCTTCTTCTGCCTCTGTGCTGACTTCCATGACATTCTTCATCTTCAACAGTTTGTAGAAACTCACTGTGCATTGGTTCTGATGTTTCATACAGAAGCCTAAGTACCTGTTTTATTGAAGGCCTTGCCCTTCCTTCTCTATGGGTGCACCATGCTACTATAGATATTACTGTTTGGAGCTGATCCAAGTCAAAAGATTCCCTCACATTGGGATCTACTAGCTCCAATAATCTCGTATCTGATTCCATGTATGGTTGGGCCCATTCTACTAGATTCTTATTATCTTGAATGGCTCGTCTTCCTGTTACAATTTCAAGTAGTAATACCCCAAAACTGTATATGTCACTTTTCTCGGTGAGCTCTTGAGTAACAACATACTCAGGATCCATATAACCTGGAATTGAATTTAACATCCAAAATTAAGTATTGTCAATGATGAAGGTTTATAGCTGTAGTTCCCTGGATATAGAACCCTCCTTTAAATCACGTAAAAATCTAAAATCAGCTAAGTAAAATATAGTGAAGAAAAGAATTTGTTACCCGGAGTTCCCCGAATTTCAGTGTTTACAGGTTCAAAGCATACCGATCCATCTTTTGAAGCTTGTGCAAGACCAAAATCAGCTATCTGTGAAAATGATGTAATACAGGTATAAAGGAATTAGTTAACAATTGACAGCATCTTACCCTATCCATACATAAATCAAAAATTCTTTGCAATGTTTCAAACTCGGGCTGAAAAGACAGTGAATATTAACAGGTGAAATGCTGGCATACAGTGCGAAAATCATCCAACCTTGGCAACAAAGTTCTCATCCAGTAAAGTGTTGCTAGATTTAATATCTCTGTGACACAGAGGAGGATCGCAATAGAAATGGAGGTACTCCTGCACGTGAAAGAATGTGAGGTTAAAAAGTAAAATCCATGCATAAAGAGAATAAAGGATGAAAAACATTCAGCCACTCGATTTTGATAAGCTTGAAATTAAACCAATGGCAGTTATTACCAGGGCATTGGCCACATCAATGGCAATTTGGATTCTTGTTCGCCAACTTAAAGGTGTTTTACCAGGGGCTGTACAAAAGAACAAAAGTATCTTACGTGAGATTAAGGGGTTAACAGGGAAAAGAAGCAATGATAATTATCTGTTTCCTCGCTATTCAAATGCTATAGTTTTGTTGCACATGTTGAATTGTCATGTTTAATATGGCTGAAGGTACTGAGTTAGAAAAAAGATGCAGGAAAGAAAGCACATAAGATCCACATAATGATACAAGCACAAGGGATGAAGATAGAAGTTCCATTTGTAATTTGACCAAATATTATCGAAAGTAGAATATTATTCAAAACAGTGAGCGTGAATGTATTTATTTGTTTTTTTTTAAGGAACAACAATCTATGGAAATCGAGAGGCATACAATGAAGATGATCTTTCAAGCTTCCATTTCCCATGTACTCATACAATAGAAACCTGCCATAGACATTCAGAAGAGTTTGATTCATTGGTATATATGTCGAAGAATATAAAAAACACAGAAACAGATACCTCTCACGTTTTTGAATGCAAAAGCCTCTCAAGGAAACAAGATGCCGATGGTGCAGCCGGGCAAGAAGCTCAATTTCTCTGCAGAACTCATCCTCTCCCTGCTCAGATATTCTGTTCATCCGTTTTACTGCTGCGACCAGGCCATCAGAAAAATCAGCTTTATACACAGTTCCAAATCCCCCTTGACCAATGATAGTACTAAAATCCTCTGTAGCCCTTTTTATCTCCTTGTAGCTGAATTTTCGGAACATAGATGAAGAACCTGCTCAACACACCCCAACCAGGAAGCAAAATAAGAAAAAATGGTGTGCTAGTTTCAATAATATATCACTAACAAGAATGATCAACCAAAACCTTACCTTCCTGAAATTTCCATGTTGTACAAGGAGGTAAGGTTTTCGAACAGGGTTTACCAAAATTATCAGGCTTGTCTAGCTCTCTGCTTTTCTGGCGAATTAGAACTATCAAGACTATGAGTGTGATAACAGCAACAGCTGTAACTGCAATAGCAATACCTGGAACTAACGTCAAACGATATGAATGATGCTTTCCCTTTAAAGGTGCACTTAACAATGGTTGACTTGGGCCATCAGAAACAGGTGGGCTTGGAGAAGCCTTAGGAGCAGGCAAGGATGGGGTTGACTCTAAAACTGGCATCACAGTTGCAAAAAAGCATGATCAGCTATAAAATTTTAGTTTATTGGTAACTATACACAGACTTCATTGCATTCCTGGAAAGAATATTTATTGGTGTAAAAAGAAAATAATACACATGCTTCATTTGGCACACATTAATTGTTATAACTACTAACTAGTACCCTTTACACAGTTTTTTCAATGCGTAGTTTAGTTATACTGTTTTCTATCCTTGTCATTCATACCAATGGAAAGTATATGTGCAACAATTGCTTGTTTATTTAGAAGCAATTACAAAGAGGAACTACAACATTCTGAAGTAGAGATCTCATCCATTTTATTGGCTTTACATCATAATAAATCTCAAGGCCATAATCATTTAATCTATGCAGTAGAATTAACACGTGAAGGAACTCATTCACACAGTGACCTGAAGAGGGAGCAGATCAAACTGATTATCATTAGCTTTTTTACTTTATAAAATTCTTACCAGGAAGCTTGAGAAGTCCTTGAACCCCAAAGAAACAAATTGCAATGTCAATGGTAGATATCTCATCAACTTGGCTTGCTAATGCAGCAAAAGTGGCATCACGACATGTACTAAGTGTTATATTATCTTCAATTCCGATATGATGCAGATAACCAATGCCAGCATTTAAACACTTCTTACATTTACTTTCCTCTCCAAGTGGCGCTTTGCAATTTTTTGTGACCTCCGTAAATCTGGGGGATTGCAACATTTGGACAACACTAGTTCTCCCCTTACATTCATAATTAACAGGAATTTTTGTTCCGAAACCACAGAAAGCTGTTGCATTTTGTGCAACTCCATTAAGTTGCAAGGTTTGAAATATGGTTTGGAGGCAGATGTCAGTCGCATTTTGAGAGACCCCTAGGTTGCCTGTTGCATTAGCAAAACGAGAAACAGCAATTGCAACATTAGTATTGATGTATCGGCAGCATTTTCCTCTGTCACCATGGTTAGAGCATAGAGAGGATGCAAGTGTGAAGTTTGAACCAGTAAAATTCAAAGGGCAATCTGCAAAAGGAGGAGCAATATTAGACCATTAAACCACATTTAATCCTTCACCTGAATTGCCAACAATTTACTATAGTACAATTAAAAGATTGACTAGTCAAGCTGAGATTATTAATATAAGGATGGCAGTTTTGCTAACCATTACGCTAAAGGAAATGGATGGTTCAAGAATCAAAAGGGAAAAATTTACTATAAAATATTACTTCCAAATATTACCATTGCATCTCTACCATGATTTCCAATAAAATCTTTCTATTTGTTAATCATTTCCATCAAGGCAACGGTTAGAGAAACTGTAAAAACATATTCAGTTTCTGTGGAAGTTTTCAGAATGCATGAGATAAAAACTACACCACAAAACAGGTCCAATCTTAGTTCATTTCATGACATTCTTGCAGTATTAGTTTTGAATACATAGTTCTATGATTATTACTGTTTAGTCTTTACAGTCACAATATGTGCACCATGAAAGTTTTTGGCACCTTGACCATGTCATGATTCCCCTAGAATAAATCTTGAACATGTCAAAATATTGTGGAAGAGCGTCTATCTCAATAAAATGATTTTACTGCTTAGGTTTGCAGTGCAAGCTCTGGGCCTGATGTTCAATAGGCAATAGGTATATATTATATTGGAGTAAAGATATACTTTGACATATAATGGAATGAAAATGAACTTATTACAATTTTATGGATTTTTTTTTACTCGTGAGCATTCTTATAGGATGGTTACGGCGAGTTCTTCAATTCACTTATTTTCCTTTTGCTGTGGAAAACAATAAGATTGTACGTGATTTATATCCCTAAAATGCAAGCAAATGACTTTTGGACTCAAAGCACAAGCCAAATAAATACTGATCTGAAATTATAATTTAAATGAACAGATTAAAGCCCCTTCCTAGAGAGACGCTAAAATTATACCATCCTCTATTCATATTTTAAAATTACACTTTCCTCCCCTCAGATTAATAATATGTGCTACAATTTAGTCCATCTTTACTTAAAGAAACCTCTTAAGGTCAAATGTTTCTCTTTTACTGACTGTCAACATTGTTTGAAACTGATTTTGAATCTTTTACCGTGAACATTGAGAGTATAGAAGATTAAATGAACACTTTTAAGGAAGTTTCAAGTTAATAATATGAATTCACAAACCATCATTTCATTTACTGAAGTCCAAAAATTCATAATAATCACAAAATTAGTTATCAGTGATTGTAAAAATTGGAATAAAAAGAAAAACAAACTTAGGAGGCCAATTCACAGTTAATCATCCTCACACACACTAATTATACTAAAACGGGGTAAAGTGAAACACTTATTGATCTCTGAATAGAGATGAGTGTAACTTTTTAACTGAGAAGTTGCGGGATAAGGGTGTATTTTACATTAATTGAAGTAAAATAATAGGGACAGCAATGATGAAATTCTTGACAATTGGGAAAGGCATTGTAACTATTCTATGTCACCGATAACATGTTTTCAATTTCATCAGAGTTCAAAACAGTTCCATTTTCTAGAGTTTATATACCAGTAAAAAGTACAACACAATATCGGATTTGCAGGATAGCCTTATCTATTTCTAATATAGGTTAAATGTGGCCAAATGCTTCTGCTTTCTGCTCTTTTAGAAGGTAAAAACTCAGGTTTCTCTATGGGCAAACCTAGAGCAAATGTGAATTTGTGATAAAAGCTTTTGCATATTAATTTCTGAAACCATTCAGGTGGTAAAAGCTTTTGTTGTACCACAATTCCATCAAGATATTTGGTCCTAAATGTGACTTTGGTGTAGAAAAAGGGAAGAGAAACAAGGTGAGAGAAATGTTAGTAACAAATTGACAATGTGCATAACTGTCCAGATTCATTAACACCTGTCAATCCTTTCTCATCACATTGAAGTTTCCCAATAACGGGGAAAACAATCATAACTAAGACCAACGTATAAATGCGCCAAGAACATCACCCACAAGTTCCAAGTGTTAGCATTATTAAATAGCCGTTATCATTAATTCCTACCTCGACACCATTCCTTACCCGTGATGGGTAAAAGACATATTCCAGAAATGAATGCAGCAGTTTGTGTACCCAGTATCGTAATAAGGCAAAAGGGTGGAAGATATTGAAGCAAAGCTAAAAAAGGAAAGAACTTTTGAAGGAACTAACCAGCCATTATGACAGGAAGCTGCATTCCAAGAAAAGCCAACATTCCCAACAAAGGGAGAAGCCCGTAGAGCATGGTGGAGTAGTAGGTAGAGAAGAAAGATGAGGACTTGAAAGAGTGTGTTTATGTGTATTGTGTCTTAACCACCCATTTTGGGAACACCATTCACCGTTCTGGCTGCTACAATAGGTTTTATTAGACTTTTCAGAAAGACCGGTGGGTGTGTGGGCGTGTGAATGTGTGCGTGAGAGAGAGAGAGAGATGGAGAGAGAGAGAGAGAGGGTTTTGTACTTTTGTTTGTTTGGCTCTGAATAAATGCGCACTGATGAGGAAGAACAACAATTTTAATTGATGCTTTCGTGGGGTATACCTTTATTTGTTTCATATTCCACAGTACACCAGAGGCTCTCCCTTTCATTTTTCTCATTCTTCATCAAACTTCTCAAAGACACTGCACACACCAAAAAGAAATTCATTCTTAATAAATATCAGTTTTTTAAATTAAATTTTAAATCTTTACGGTGTTTAATGGAGCACGTAATAAGACCAAAAACTATAATACACAGGTGAGATGTAAAATTCTCTCTTTACAAACGGTTGATTTGATAAGTGAGGAAGAGTTGAAACCAACACAAAGGAGAAAGACTTTGTGTGATGGTGGTGTTGCATTTATGAGGCTAAATTTGATTACTATTTGATTTTATAACGTTAATTAGATTAAGTTTACCATTTGAGTAGTTTATCATTTTAGTTTGATACCACACAAGAAAATCTGAAAATTTCACATGAACAAAGCATTTGTTACTAGAACCAAATTAGTTTAAAAGATTTATAAGCTTTCTGTAAATAATTTTGTTTATAAAAAAATGTTGGGAGCGTCGGCAGTGAGATTCTTTTCTTATGGAAGGTAAAAGTATAAAAAATGTTGAGTGTTTGTTATTGATATTTGGTTTTGTCTCATAAGTCTCCATCAGCATATGAATGATGGAAGAAAAATGTCATGGATTTAGTTGCAAGAGCATGTGAGCATGTGTGGGACCTATCACTTCATACATGTGCCTATATTATGTGCTTCTTCTCTTCTCTTGCCCTACAATGTCATCCTCCAATCCCTCCATATTCTCTTCAAATCAACCACTGCACATTTTTTTTACACTCTGGAAATCCATCCCTACCATTACCAATATAAAAAAACCAACACACCACGTTTCTTTAAAATCTAAATATTTACCATACATCCTTTTCTTCAAACTTTCCTATTAATGAGTTATATCATTCTAACATAAGTGAATTTTAAACCTAAGTTTCACATTAAAATAAAAGTGATTAAAAATTATTTGAAAAAAATTATAAAATTATTTTCTTAAAATTTTAAGTTAAAAATGATATTAATATTTTATGTAAATTAAATTCATAACCAATTGGTAATTTGTTATCCTCTTAAAAAAAACACATCAATTTCTTATAAATAGATATCAATTTTTTTTTATTTATTTTTAGTTAATGGAATACTTAATCCTCATACTAAAACTCTGAACATTCTTTTTCTTCTTCTTTCTTTCATACCCAAGTTTATATAATAAAAAACTTGTATGGGAATCCAACTTTTATAGCATAGTTGTTTCTGTTTGACATATGAAAAATCTCCGACTTATTTCATACAACACAAGAAATTATGAAAGTGTTACACTATTCATAGTCTTATTTTTCTATTCTGTTTACTAAATTAATATGCAATTTTGTCCAACTGGTTAATTAAATTTTAGTGTTTTTAATTTGGGTTGTTTTCATTTGTGTTAGGGTTATTTCTTCTTAATGTTCCCCTTTACTACTCAGTTATCATCCTTTTACAAATTTTGTCATTAAATTTCTTTTTAGTTTTGAAACTTTTGAATTACATGTACATTTTCTAATCTATTAATTTTGAAACAAAATGATAATGTGCCATAAAAAAATAATATAAGTCAAAACACGCTGTTTTTTGATAATAAAATGTCACTTCTTTTTTTTTTTACTTTCTACGGTCATACTTTAACATTTCGTCAGAACTTTGAGAAAAATTGATAAGGTGCGTAAAATTTCTTAAAATATAATAATAAAATATAAGAGTGATAAATAATGGGAAATGACAATAATTTATTGATAAAATACCAAATTAGGTTTTATTTTTTATTTATTTATTTTTATGTTTTAAGGATCCTTAGATATTTAGATTACTTTCATCAAAACAAGCGCAAGTTAAACACAATCTTACATCTATAAGTTACTTTTTTTGTAAGATTTCTAAAAAAATTGTTTCGATCACGTTTAAGTTGACATTAATGTATTTTTATAATTTTTTGTAGTATTTTAAGATTACATTTCTACCTACACACAAAAATACATTTGTATACTTATCCAGATATAAGCATATCGATTATTTGAACATTAATTTATCATTTTAAGATTTTAGTGATGCATTATTAAATTATTTACTTATTTTTATAGGTGTGCAACTTAACTTCAATAAGTTTGTCTTTGGTGAAAACTATGGTAAAAACAAACAAATAATTCACTTATTTTTTTAAAATGTTAAATAAAATAAGGATGTTAAAATACTATATATTATTTCTTATCAAATGATGAATAGTAAACTGTTAGTTGAATTAAAAAGGAAAATGTAATCTTTTCTATTTTGAGAGCATCTTTTGGAGACATGTTTTGCGAATAGATATTTCCTTAAAAAATTAGAGAAAGAAAAGGACAAACTTCATTATTCATTTGCCAATTAACGAAGTTCAGTAAAGCAATTCGAAGTGTGAATATTAAAGTATGAATTAAGAAATGTTAATATAGATTAGTGTGCAAAATCAAATTGTTTGGGGAAAGAAAAATGCCAAGAAGACCGGATCAATAAAATACATTACTGCTATTTGACAGCATGTGTGCCAGCTATTCTTATCTGTTTTTGGCGTTCAAAATTAAATTATTTTTTATTTTCAATAATTGGACTCAAAGTGTTTTAAAACTACGTTAAAAATAAATTCAATTCTACTTTTATAGAACGGTTTTTGTTTTTTAAATTTATATTTTAGAAAAAAAAAACTAAATTAAAAAGGTTATCTTCGTTAGTGTTTTTTTTTTCTCATTACTATTCTTATTATCGCAGTGATTATAACGATAAAAATATATTTATTATACGTGAAATAGCCTAAATGGTTCTCTACTGGAAGATAGAAATATATTTATTATTATTTCACAGATCTTAATATTCTAAATCTCCTTCCACTCAAAATTAAGAATAAAGTAAATTTGTATTTATAGATAAATTAAGGATACTACAATATTTTACATTGATATAAGGATAAGAATATATATATATATATATATATATATATATATATCCATCTGATTTTTATCTATACATTCGTTTTGATTTAAATTTCTTAGACATTCTTAATTTATTAGTATATTTTAAAATTTATAAAATTATAAACTTTCTTTCACTGTTGTTGATATCGAAGAGAAGAAATTTTGTGTTTTTAACTTTTCTCTAAAAGAAATATTTAATGAATATTTATTGATATGAGTGCAGTTATAATTATATTTATGTACATTAGAATGAAATATAGATTTTATACACGTTGAGTGTAAAGACAGGAATCAATATAGAATTTACTTAAAAAACGAGGATGAAGTTAGTCAAAACTCACATCCACTCATACTTGTCACCCTGGCCAAAACCACATATTTAGTGTTCACATATTTATTGTGCTTCTTCATGTTTAGGTGTTGAGAATCACAATATTCTATAATTCTTACATGCTCTAGAATAATATATTGCTTGTTATTCTTTCTTTTACTTCTATTTATCAATTAGTAAAATTCAATATTGAATAAAATATTTTGTACAAATATTAACATGAAAAAATCACATACAAGTCAAGAAAACCCATTAAATAATTCATAAACTTATTAAATGTGTATCATATACACCATCATCGACAGATGAAGTCGAAGTGGCTATCGAAAACATCTAATAATAAAGATAAAACATTAACATCTTAATTACACATTAACATCTTAATTACACATTAATAAGCATCGAAACTAATGATTATATTGGATAATAACTAATCAAAGATCAAGAATATATCACTACAATGGCAAAAATATCCGGATAAAATTAGTCATGGATAGTTGATATCATATTAGTCATACACTTAAGTATTCATTATCTGGAAAAAATTAATATAAAAATTTAATTTATATTTTATTAATTTAAATTTAATTTAAATTAAATATTATTTTATAATTAATTTAATTTATATTATATTTTATATTTTCTTTTGTAATTTTATTTAAGGTTAAATATGTTTTTGTCCCTCAGTTATCATGCGATTTTAGTTTTCGTCCCTCTCTGAAACTTTGATACACTTTCATCCTCTTCTTTTAAAAAGTGTCATATTTAGTCTTCCATGACTAGCAGAGTTAGTTTTTTTCTGACGTGGCTAACGGGTGCCACGTGTAAGGCTAATTTGAATTTTGTTTTTGATTTTAATTAAAATTAAAAAAAAAAATATTAAATTGTAAGGTCAAAATTGGAAACCTTTTCTTCTTGCTCACTGGTTCATCCTCATGGGGACACTCTTCCCTCTCCATCTTCAACGCAGTCATGGCCAACATCATGACAGAAAAACTCATAAGAGGGTTCAACCTCTTCCCCTAAAGACCCGAAAGACCCCATCAGCAAAGCTCACACTTGCATGGTTTTTTTTTACGCATCACACCATGCATGCTTACATCACAACAAATATAATTCTTAGACTAATTGATGAGCATTTTCAAAACTAATTTCAAAAATTTTTATTTGAATGTTTCTATTACTAATTCATGGTAAAATTCAATATACTTGTTTTTCCCAACATAATAATTATAAAAACATTATTTCACCTCAAAACTAAATTACGAATCTAGAATGAAAATAATGAACATATATTTATCTAAAATCACTTCAGTTGATTGTTGAATGTGATTCTGGAAACATGATGCGAGTTCAAACAAACAATTAATGTGTCTGTGATTTGGGTAGGGAATTTAAGGTGGGTTCAAGCAATGGAGTGGTCTGGTCAAAAAGAATTTGGGGCGTCTTGTGCGGTCCCATTTTTGATGGATGGTGAAGAAGCACTTCTTCAACATGACAAACTTCCACCATGAAATTGGGATAAGGAAAACTGGAATTTGGGAAATTTAGTCCAAAAGATGACATTATGCTTCATTTGCTTCTTTTTCCAAATCAAACTCCGATTCCATTCAAAGCCTCTCATACGCCCGAGTTTGCTCCCATTGTTGTTGCCAAGGCTGCCTCTAAGAGGTTTCCCAATCGGACTTCCACAACTACGTCATTCCTATCGCCAAAACCTACCATCGCTTCGAGGACATCTGTAACCACACCTCCAAGGAACAAATCAACGACCTCGCCAATGTCGTTGCCGCCTCTAAGGTCCCTGCGCTCTACTTCAAGGAGGACTTTTGCCTCGAGGACAGAGCTATGTTCCGTGCCGCCTTCCCCTTTGCCAACGTTGCCAAGAACCTCGCGCTGCAAGAGAAACTCTCACACTACCTCGATGTTGTGGACCTCCATCTCATGAAGGAGATCTCGCTCCTCTCGTCCTCATTCTTCAAGACGCAGGGCAGCTGTAGGATCTCGATCCGCTCATGACTGTTGGACCTGATGTTAGCCATGGCTGCCTTGAAGATAGAGAGGGAAGAATGCCCCCATCATGGTGAACCCGTGAACGAAGAAGAGAAGGTTTTCCGATTTTGACCATACAATTTAATATTTTTTCTTTTAATTTTAATTACAATAAGAAACAAAATTCAAATTAGCCTAACACATGGAACACCGTTAGCCACATTAGAAAAAAACTAACGTTGTTAGTCATGGAGGAGTAAACATGACACTTTTTAAAAGGAGAGGGATGAAAGTGTATCAAAGTTTCAGAGAAGGACGAAACTAAAATCGCATAATAGTTTAAGACTAAAAACATATTTAACCCTTTTATTTATATTTTATGTTAAACATTTATAAAATATCTTCTTCTTTTTTTATATATTTCCGGGTATCCACAAGTACCCTCGAGTTTTAAAATACCCGCAAATATAGTGGAATTCTTCTGCGGAGGAGACTGAATGTAGCTTACTTGGAGCGAATCGATATAAAAACACTTGTGTAATTATCTTTTCTCTTATCTAAATGATCCTCTTACAAAAACCTGTAGTTGCATTTTACTTACAAACACAACAATCTTCCAAGCTAAATGATAATTTTTCATAAAGGAAGTTCTTTAAAAACACTTGGCAATTATCTCTTCTCTTATCTAAACTATCTTCTTACAAAAACCTACAGTTGTGCTTTACTTCCAAACACAATAATCTTCTAAGCTAAACAATAATTTTTCATAAAGGAAGTTCTTACAAAACATTGCAAGATATATTCTGAATAGCACGACAAAAACTACTATTGTTTATTCATATTTATCAAGTCAAGCGTCTAAGCTTTTAAAAGAAAATTTTAGAGCTCGATAATGTACTATATTAGAAGGGTTGCAAAAAGTTTGTCATTAACAATATTCAACCCCCCTCTAGTGTTTTTCAGGTACTTCGAGAGTGACTACTCTCGAAATAGTACTTATTATTGTTGTTACTTGTTTTTATTGGATTGAGAGTTCACCATTGGACCAAAAGTTATGGTTAATAGTTAGGACACACCTCTTTCTACTTTTTATAGTGTACCATTTTAAATGTCATGATTTGATTATAACTTGGCCCACTTGACCTACACCATGGGAAAATTGATGCATTCTATAACAAAATTTTGCTTTACAATTGTTTTACTAGAAATCAAATTCTTTGATTATGAATGAACCCATTGGTCTACACCAAGAAATATATATGGAACATGAAATAGTCTCTCTTTAAACAATTTTTCAGTGAAAATCAAACTTAAAACCTTAAATCTAATACTAATTGTTGAATCAATCACTTACCACTAAACCAAAATTATAGGTCATAGCCATAACATAATTCTTTCTAGTTATGAGTATATCATCCCAAGTGTAATTTGATTGACTCGATCCACTTGACTTATTATAACATATAAAAATTTATAATGTAATATTTTTCATACATAAGCATTCTACTCTTTATAAATTATATAAATATTTTGTTATTATTTTTAAATAACATAAAGAAAAAAAAAATGGAAGGGGGTAGGAGCTTATCTCGTACTAATTTATAAGCGTGCTTGGTTAAAAATCTGAAAGTAATTAATACCTATAATGAAAGTAAATAAAAAAAATTAAGTATGGCTATAAATAGGAGGGATTTACGTAAAAAGATAAGGAGAAAGGGAAGAAAGAGAATGAAAACATGGAGAAGAAAATCAAAAGAGAAGAAAAGTAAAAGAAAGAGGAGAAAAGAGGGAAAAAATAATTTTAATATATTAGTCTCTAATTTCATTATATTTATTTATTTATATTTGTATTATTTATATTTATGTTAATGACGCTCCTAATCTCATTGTATTTATTTATTTATATGTATATCCAATTATGTACTACTTATATTTATTTATATTTATCTTTAATTACATACTAGTTATATCTGTTTATTTATATTATTATAGGTTTTTTAGTGATAGAAATGAAACAACGTGAGAACCAAAGTTCGATTTTGATTTTAAATGTGGTAAAAAGAACCTAAAGTTTTTACTACACAATATATTTTTATAAATAAACATTAGAAACCAAATAAAAAGAACATTGATGCAAATTTATGATTAAACTTCCCCATATATGGTCAGAAATGAAAATGGAAAGAGTAGCAAAAGCCAACAAAAATGTATAAATGAATCCCTAAACCACCATCATTTGGTTGTTAGAGATCGATCATAACTCGCAAAAACATTTTCGTTATTTTTCTATAATGAAAAAAGAAGAAGGAACCATGATTTTAATTTATAAAAAGAAATTTACATCAGACTTTCTATTATCAATGTAAAATATATAATTTATGTCAAACACTACAAAATCCAACATAAATTATATGTTTCACGTCAAATACTCAAACCTACGACATAAATCATTTTTTTTTATTTATAAAACGGTTAGTGTGATTTTTTTTATTATGAAGTCATTCATTATCAAAAATAAATTAGGTGAAGTAAATCACTAGTGATAGTAACACGAAAAATATTCAACTCTATATTGTTTTTAACTTGTTATCACAACTTTAATAAATATTGTTTTTAACTTGGTATCACAATTTTAATTAAGAGGACCTAAAGTTTTAACCATAACCTCATTTTATAGGTTAAAAAAATTGTAAAATATATTGTATATATTCTCAACTCAAACAAAGACTATCTCCAGGTTTCTTTTAAACATAAATAATTTTCACGAGATTAAATAACTATGTATAAACTCTTTCACAACTTCTTTTATTTCTATGTTGCTAAATCAAATTAGAAATCTTAATTTCAATTACTTGCTACGTATATTATGAGTCATGCTCAAATGATAGATAATAAAATTTAAATTAGATTAGCACAATTTTTTTTCTTGACTCTTTAATTTAGTTCAATATGAAAAATATAATCCCACGCCCCTAATGCACAGTGACCAGGACCATCACGAGTTTCATTGTTTTCTTTTTCTTTTTTAATTTTCTAGTTTATCTGGACTGTATTGTATATTAGAATAAAGTTAAATATTAAAAAATAAAAAATAAAGATTTAAAATTAATTCATATTTTTTATAGGTTCCCTTACGTTATAAATATAGTAAATATCAAATAATAATAGATGATATTTTAATTCATAGAAACGATAATTATAGATTATGCCCCTAACATAAACTTTTATACAAACTAATTTTTATATTTTTATATGATTGTAAAATATTTTTCTTTTGAAAAAAAAACTACACAAGTAAATCAGCCCACTAGACCCAAAGACTAAAATTACCTAAATTGGCCCAACAAGTCTTTTGAAAATGTACTATAAACCTGTTACTATAAGCTATACCAAAATCACAAGGACATTCAATTTTATTCAATTTTTTTATAACCAAACATGTTAATTATGATATTATTAATTATTTTGCAAACAATAATTGTTCGTCCCCTCGTAATTGAATCTTCGAGCTAAACGTTTGTCGATTTTGGTCAATCAAACATTTATAACGAAATTATTGTACTATTTTGTTTGTCAAAAATAGCCATCCTTGTTCTACAAAATCTTAATGCAAATAACTCTTTCGGTAATATATCTTCTAGTAAAATCATAATTTCAATGGCTAATCTATATTCTCAAAGGTTAAACATTTCAAATTTTAATATTTAAGAGTTAGTTAATTAATTAATATATCAAACTTACACATATACAAGGGTGCATATAATTAATTTGAGCATTTGTTTACACCTTTTCTCTCCTTTAAAACTCTAATATTCAAATTACATTTTACTCTTCTTTTCCTCTTGAACGTATCATGCTTAATAATCCTACTGTTTTCTTCACCCATCTGATCAAATCTAAAATGCTTTTTCTTGTGAACATTCTACACAGATGAATATTGTATTATTTAAACGCAGAGATAGAAAAACAATTCTTTTTTATTTTTTCAATTTAACATTTATTCTGAAAAGGAAGACATGAATATAAACATAAATAATACATAAACACATCATTGCAACAAACAAGATTTTTTAGAACATTTTTAAAATTTTATCCATATATATATATAGAGGTGATAATAATTCGTTTTTAATTAGTATATTCTACATAATCGAGTTAGGAACAATTGCATAAGCCACTTCTATTTTTTGTTTTTTATTCCCGTAAGAGGAACATCTTGCAATAATACTAGGCTGTAGAACTGCCATATGATAATAATTGAATAATGCACGTTTTATAGTCATTTTCATTTTTTTTCTTTTTATTCTTGGGTCACCATCATGACGTTATTGTTTGGTTCAACTGTTTTATATTTTTTGAACGTACTTTTGCTATGTGATAAGACCAAAGCATTCCTAAATTACATAACCCTTTGGAACTGTTTTAGACAAATTAATGTTATCCGACAATCGAAATATGATTAAAATATATGTTAGCCATTCAAATATATGAAGTTTCATTTCCAATAAATATATATATATGAATTGGTTGGTTGCGTAAGTAATGCATAGAATAGCAAATAATGGAGGTACATTGCAATGTTAAGATTCTGCTCTGCATATTGCTTTACATTCAAACTTTCATCTTTGTTCTTTTGCAGAACTACCTTCTCATCGCTACTTTGATCAGCACAAGTCTTGTATTTGCTTGCTACATCGTTCTCATGGTAACTATAAGTATTTTGTATTTTCATAACATTTCATAAAAATAACTGTAAACATGTTCTAGTTACAGTTATATATATGTTCAATGCTTTCAGTGATTTATGAAAATCATGGTTATTGTGTGAAACTTGCTTGAATAGGTGGGAGAAACATGTTCTCGAGACATTAATGACTGTGACATGGGATTGCAGTGCATAGAATGCAACTCGAAAAATCGGTGTACACGAATTCGAACTATAAGTCCTATTTTAAGGGTCCTTACCATGTTCATCAACCTGTTTTGTACCTCTCAATAAATTTTGTATAAATAAGAGTATGATGAATGATGTACAGGTGAAGGATCTTCCATTCAACCATTACTCATGGCTTACAACTCATAACTCATTTGCATGGAGGGGAATGAATTCAAGCATCGGTTTTCCAATTTTGGCCATCATGAACCAAGAAGATTCCATTACAGACCAACTCAAGGTATGTTAAGTAAATGTCAAAAACAGTAATGATTATCAGATGAATATCGTTTCAGATTTTCAAGACAACTTCATATGCTCATAGTATTTGTCAGACATTTTTGGTTGCAGAATGGTGTAAGAGGATTGATGTTGGACATGAGTGATTATAAAGATGACGTTTGGCTATGTCAAGGGATGTGCTCTAGATATACAGCTTTTGTAAGGCATTTTGTAAAAAATTCACAATCACCACTCTTCAAAGTTAAAGTGTTGTTTGATTTGGTAATGCTTAAACATGTCTTTGTTTGACATTCTTAAGGGTCCTATAATTTTGAAATACGAGGTACAATTTAACAGCAACCTGCCATTCATGTTCTAAAAGAGATCAGGGCATTCCTCGTAACACACCCAACACAAATCATCACCATTTTCATTGAGGATCATGTAACATCGCCAAATGGTGTGAATAAAGTTTTTAATGCAGCTGGGCTGAGGAAATTTTGGTTTCCAGTGTCGAAAATGCCCAAAAACGGTGGTGATTGGCCAACAGTCATAGAAATGATACGCAGGAATCATCGGTTAATTGTGTTCACTTCAAATGCAACTAAGGAGGATTACCAAAGAATTGCGTTTGTGTGGAATTATGTTGTCGAAAATCATTGTGAGTTTCACACATTCTTTCGGAATCAAATTCTACAATTAAATGGGTCTAATAATTTATACCAGTTTTGATAATATTGTAGATGGACATGATGGCATGAAAGGAGGTTCTTGTTCAAATCGAGCTGAATCACTTCCAATGAACACAACAACAAAGTCATTGGTCTTAATGAACTACTTTCGAAATGTCAAAAATTCTGAGGAAGCATGTAGGGATAACTCTTCTCCTTTGATGACCATGATGAATATGTGCTTCACTGCTGCAGGTAATCGATGGCCTAATTATGTTGCTGTTGACTTTTACAAGGTAAACATTTTATAGCACTTTGAAAACCACTTCCTTAATAGCATCAATTATAAGCTACATATTCATATATATATATATTCAATGGAACTTATACGTGGCTGAAACATCCAGAGAAGTGACGGTGGTGGAGCTCCTCAAGCATTAGACGTGGCAAATGAAAACTTGCTTCAGACATAAACAAGCTCATTGCAATCATCGTGGCAGGTATAGGGATACAACCAATGAATTGACTTAAGTTATTTTTTTATACATGTGATGAAGGATAACACACTTCAAATTAGGAAAAACTCTCTTTTAACGACTTTTTTTACAATAATCTGGATAGCACGTCATTAGTCTGTTTCAAATATATGAACTAATAAAATAATGACTCATAATCGGTTGTCAAAAAGTTGTTAAAATATCATGGTTCTTAAAAATATTTTTTTAGAAGTTTGTCTATTCTCACGCACCTAATATGCTTTAATTTGTCTCACGTATCTGAGTTGACGTATATTCATATCGACGTATATCCCCGTATATGAATTTTAGGATACTTTACTAATATTTATCAATAAATTATCTAATATATAAATCAATATATTAGTGGTAATAATATATAAGATTATGTTAAAAATTTTAATACATACGCTTTGATTTTAATTTGGATTCACAATAATAATTATATATTTATTATGTTTTTTAAAAATTTTATAATTTTTCAATATACATATATTACGTATCATACTTTGTTATTTTTAAAATAAGTATATTTATGTAAAACATACTTTTCGTATAACAAACATATCAAATTTTTGCATCATAAACTCACACAAGTTAATGTAATATCTAAAATTCACTTGAAAGTTTTTCTAGAAGGGTATGTGATGGATGTGAAGTTGCTTGTTTATTGGAATTAAAACTTGATTTACTTTTTTGTTTACAACAATGTAGTTTTTTACCCCTTAGCTTAAAATCAAGCATTCTTCAAATGAATCTTAGTCACGAAAGTTTATCCTTGGAATTTTTGTTTAGAGATATAAATAATTAAATAAACTGAGAATACAAGAATAAAATTGATGAGCATATCGTAATCTTGATTATGGTTGTCCTAATAATTTTTACCATTTTTAGTTTAACAATGTTCCAATTGAATTAAGTCTGAATTATGTTATTTTATGTTTGCTAAAGTTCATTATTAAAAATTAATCACTTTTATGAAAAAGTGTTTAAAAAATAATAAAAAGATTTATTTTCAAAAAATTGAACTTAACATTCACTTCATTTATAAAAGCATTTAATTTTACTTTTCAATATTTTTTTTTCTTAAAGTCAACACCCTATTTATATTTCAAGATATAAATGAAAAGTGAATTAATTCACTTCAGAATATCAAAACAATTCACTTCACAAACTTAAGTTCACCTAAAAGTTTAGATTTTACTAAATTATGAGGGACAGACAAGTATATCATCTCCTGAATAATTTTATACAAGTCTTTCAGGTTAAATATGTTTTAGCATCTCAACTATCAAGTATTTTTGGGTTTAATTTCTCTTCCAAATTTTGGTTTACTTAGATTTAGTTCCTCTTCCAAACTTTGATTCACTTTAATCTTTGTCTTTAAGAAAACTATAATATTTTGTTCTCCATGACCAACGACAGTTAATTTTTTTCTGACATACGTGGAAGGCCAATTCAAATTTTGTTTCTAACTCTAATTAAAATTAAAAGAAAAATGATTAAATTGTAAGGTTAAAACTGGAATCTCTTTCTTCTTCGCTCAAGGGTTCATCTTATGGAACACTCTTTTCTTCTTCATCTTCAACCAGTCATGGCCAACACCAAGTCCATTTCCAACTATTACACTTACTTTCTTGTGACCATGATTCCATCTCATTTTGACCTCATTTTTTTTTCATCTATCATCAACTCAAATCACAAAATTTATCATATATTTTCCACTCTCACTTACTTTTTCTTTCCTTCCCTCTTTCCTAAACCTATTCCCCCAAAAATTAGGGTGGAGGGCATTCCACATTTCTTCCCCCTTCTCCAGCTATAATTATTAATTAACAAAGCGTTGTACCGAGAACACGAACAATCTCCGCAGTACTACCACCATCGTCGAAAACAGGAAGAACGTAAGCAACGCGGTTAGTGAAATTCTTGAGCACATCGTTGAAGGCGGTGCCTCCAGAGAAGACTAGCAAAACCCTAGAGTAAAGGAATCACTTGTGTGAGGGAGATCAACAACCTTTATTGTTCTGAAGAGTAATGAAAATGGGAATTAAAGGAAAGGAAGGTGGGGTTTCAAAGGAGTAAAGGAGAAGAAGAATCCTAGGAATTAATTCTAAGGTTCAAAAATTGTGTTTGGGGTGATGGAGGAAGCCTATAAAAGGGCAAGAAAATGAGGGTTAGAGGCATCAAAGCAAAGGTTTAGAACTTAAGAGTGAGAAAGAGATTTTATGAGGCACGAGTTGCAAGTTAGGAAGTTATTCAACTGGAATGCGAAATGTGTGAAGCTACGAAACCTAGTGGAAAGGGTAAAACAGTGAGGAAGAGCAAAGTGTCCAGGTTTGGGGGGTTATTTTATCTTGATGGGTTAATTGATTGGATAATAGTTTCACCTATGTCCTTTGTTCTAACTGTGAACGGATTGATGGTTTGTTAAATGTGTTTTTATAAAATGAAAATAGTGAGTACTTCAATAATTGTATAGGGGTTAGGGAGAAGATAAGAATGATATGATACATGTTCCTGTATTGGGTTTATACATTTAAAACTGGAATGTTTTGGTATGATTGTTTTCTAATGCGTAGTAATGGGAAAGGTTGGATATGTCTGGGTTTTGGGTGGTAACTTGAAATTGGTTTGGAACGTTAATTGGTCATGGTTGGTTGAAGATGGAGAAGAAAAGAGTATTCCCAGAAGATGAATCCATGAACGAAGAAGAGAAGGGATTCCACTTTTGACCCTACAATTTATTGTGTTTTCTTTTAATTTTAATTATAGTTAGAAACAAAATTAGAATTGGTCTTACACATGGCATACCATTAACCACTTCAGAAAAAAAAATTAACAAAGTTGGTCATGGAGGACGAAATATTACAATTTCTTTAAGGACAAAAATCAAAGTGAACCAAAGTTTGGAAGGGAGACTAAACCCAAAAACTCTTAATAGTTAAGAGACTAAAAACATATTTAACCCAAATCTTTAGTAATAACCCAATTCTTATTTGCTTCTCTTGTTTCCCATTCCCAAAATTATAAAAACCAGAAAAAATATTTAGTGTTATTAGAAGATTTCTAACAAAGAATAATAATAATAATAATAATAATAATAATAATAATAATAATAAT